GTCTGGTCCATCTCCTCTCAGCCTGGCGAGGATGCTTCGAGCATGATGCTGTCCTTTGGTTAAAGACACCGTAAATTAAGCAGAGATTTAATGAAACAACAAAAAGATGGGAGGACTCTGAGATCCTGAACTAGAAAGTTGTAAGGGTTAGACTTCACCTTGGCTTGAGATGGGGCATTTTGTTGGGCAATCCCTTGGCCACAGAGAAATCAAACATCCCGTACTGCTGCGGTGCCCGCTGTCTCCTTGGGGTGGGACCCAGGATTATCTGTGTCCTCCTTCCCCCCATCCTCGATGGGGCTTGGTGGGGTGTCTTGTCCCCCCGTGATGGGTTAAGGAGCTCTCGGGGGGTGAGGGATGGCAGGGTTTGGGTGATGCACATGCAGCAATCCATGGGAAGTGTGTTGCCACTCGCCTCCTGAGCAGGCATTGCAAGCTGGGACTGAACTCAATACTAAATTTAAATGTCACTATTCCTGGGGAAGGCAGGCAGACCTGGCACCAGCACAAACCCTGCACTGACTTGCCAGGCTGCTCGTTTCGAGACAAAAAGGCAATTTCTGCCAAAAGGTGAGCCTGGCGTTCGGGAGGTGTGAACTGAGCAAATAATGTTGTGTTGAAGCAACTTGAGCCTCACCCAAAATTGTCCCTTTCAGAAAACAGTGATGAACATAAAAGTTATTTGCCTTGATGGGATTGAGGTACCTTCAAGGCAGTGACCTGGCACAGAGTCTGTTGTCTTCAAACCACGTGCTCACCCCCCCTCCATGCCCGAGGCTGCTTGTAGGAGAACAATGAACTAAAATAGCTGATATAATAATAAATCTGGTTTTATTTAGCTAGATGGTAACTTTCAGAGAGATAACATCTCCCCAGGTTGCCATGGGGTGAGGGGTTTCACCCCAGGGTTGGCACCTCTAAGGGACCTGGGGATATTTTCAGTAAGGTCCATGAAAGGCAGCTGAGAAGAGCCCAGCTGCTGCTTCTTGCCTTGAAATCACTGCCCAGTGCCTTGTGGTTTTGCTTGAAAACCATAAACACCCCTATCCCCGTTCAGCAGCTCGAGGAGTTTTCCCTTCTCCCCCCTCTTTGGTTTGTCTGTAAATAAAAATGAGTTTTATTGATTTTATTTCAGTAACGGAGAAATAATTTGCCTTTGGCCTGAGCTTGCAGGATGCTAAACTCCAGCCAGGAGTGTGGTTTGGGTTTTTTTTTCTTCCTTTTATAGCGTTTCTGATCTGTGTTTATGATGCCAGTGCTGACACATCCTAAACTACAGCATGGCTATAACCCTCGGAAAAAACTCCCAGTGGGATTGAAATAGTGGCTGGCAAATGTTCCCTCCTCACTGGAGCTTGTGAATCAAAAACCATCAACGGTTTAAGCAAGGCTTGTGCTGGGGAGACAGAACTTATGCCGGAGTCGATGTATATTTTATCACTGCACTTATTCACTCACAGCCCTTCTCCCTTCGAACGCCGTGCAAGTTTTAATTAAATAGTCATTGGCAAGGCTGTTATTCTAGCTTGGAAGGCCTCCAAATGGCCGTGTTTTTTCCCCAAAACGATCACAAGGGGATGTGCTCCCATCCCCCCCATCCTCGCCAAGGTTTGTCTTCGGCAAATACCGCTAATTACGTTTGTCTGGCCGGACGCCGGCTCCGCGATAGCATCTTTCATTAGCAGTGACCTCTCCGCGCTCGCAAGGAGCTGGCTGACATCCCCGGAGCAGTTGCTTGTGGATGCTGCCAAGAAACGTCCCTTTGGTACCGGCCAAGCAGGTCTGGGTCTTGCAAGCAATGGGGTCATGCAGAGCTCTGGTTCGTTAGCGTCTGCTTGTAAGTGAGGTTCTGAAGCTGGGGTGCAGCTCCCTGTTCCCACAACTGGGTTGGTCCTGGTTGCAAACCCGAGCGGAGAAAGGCTGAGGTTGGTGCCTCCAGGATCTGCTCTACCAAGGGGTTGCTGGTGGCCACGTGTGAGTGGTCAGCTTGGATTAGGTGCAAGAGGGGTGAACAAAGGAGTGGGAGAGGACAGGACATCTCTCCTTGGCTTTAAACATCGCATGGAGGCTCTCCTGGTGGCAACACAACCCATAGAAGTGTAGATGTTGCTGTAGGCATCTCTGCAGAGGGCCTGGGAGAAACCGTGGCCGGGGGCTGAGAGGTGCCACCTCCTTTACCAGCACCTAGAGATGCTGCAACGGGTCTTTCCCTTCCACTGGCTTTAAATTCCCACCTGGCTCCTCAACCACTGACACGAATTTGCTCCCACTTGTCAGGAACGAGATACTTAATTTGTCAGTTCACTACGCTTAATATTTCTTTCATGTATCACATTGGTTTTAAATGCAAAACATGTCTGGATAAGCTCACTTTTTTGCTTTTTGTTTTGTTTTTTTTTTTTTTCTTTCCACCCTGCTGTAGCCGACACATTGAAGGTAGCCGTGTTTAACTAATAAAAAAGATTTTAAAATGCTGTTTTTGCACTTCTTTAATTGACTTCCAATTTTCATTCGCATGCAGCCTGGCACATCGCAAAGGAAAAAAGAGCGTTGAGCAAATAAGAAATGCGTCACTCCCTGGTTTTTTATCATAATCAAAAATGTAAAAATTAAGAATCTGAATCAATGTACATTAAGCTATGTAATTGCCTAAATAAACATGGCAGGGGTAGATAATGGGTCTTCCTGATTAGAAGAAAATACCGAATTTAGTGCAAAGGTTATATTTGGTTGCAAAGCAGCACGGTTTAGTGGTTGCACCCTTCGTTTGGGAGATAAACCAGGCAGGGGGGCTTGGAGGGCAGCAGTGGGTCTAGGTTCTGGTGATGAAGATCTCTCTGCTGGAGAGTATCCTTGGTGGCACCCCTGAGGGAATTATAGGGATGGAAGAATTGGTAGTGGATGGTGGCAACTGGTTTTCCTTTTCCCAGCTCTCAGGAGCCGGGTGGTGGTTGTGTTTTCCAGCACCCAGTCCTGGTGGTCCCCGACCCGGTGAGGGTCCTGGCTTGCAGCAACCGGTCTTGCAGCAAGGGAGGAGGCTCCCAAGAGCAGGACCTTCCAGGTAAACCCCAAGTCCAGCTGGGTTTATTGCAGCCTCTAAGTATTTATCATTACTTGAACTTGCTCGGGGTGGTTTGTAGCTCCAGGGTGCACACGGTGGAGTTCTGCTAGGATTCACCGCGTGCCTCCCAACACTTTTCACTGTATATTGTGGCAGCTTCGTCAACCTGATTGGCAAAAATTAATAATATCCTGACGTTGCAAGCTGCACTGAAACTATTCGATGGTCTTATGGTTACCCTGAGAGCTGCAAGCCCACGGTTGGAAGGCACTGACCATTAGCAGAAACACAGAGGTGGGTGTCCAGCACAGTTAGAAATCAGTGGCTGGCATCTGGTGGTAGTGGCAGGAGTTGGCCGGTGACGCCACCGTTGTCACCATGCCTACCAGCCCTCCAAAAGCTCCTCCCCTGCACTGGTATTTGGGAGCAAACAAAAACCATCCACGTCTGAGTATCAGTTTGCATTTGTCCTTTCCCCTTTGCTTTCCCTTAACCGCATCCATAAGTCATTTTGCTGTCAACCAGAGGATCACTGCATGTTCTTTGCTCCAAACCTGGTTGTCCTTCCTTGCAGGACAAGCATTGCTCTGGCACAGGGTTTCCCCAGTGCTTTTAATCTCCCAAATGCCTCCCTGGGTGAATCATGTTAATATTGGAGAGTGCAGGAGCCGGGGGAGAGCTGCCCACCCTTGGTCATTGTTATTCATCACTCACAGTCACACTGGGGAATGAGGGGAAAGCTGCTGGGTTTTGAGGTTGAAGCTTGGCAGGAAGGAGTTAAAGAAAAGGTGAAATATTAAGCGGAAGCAAAGAGGCACTGTGAGAAGGGCAGGATCCCAGGAAAGCTTTTCTGGGGATGGAAAAAAAGGCTGTCACCTGGAAGAGCTCCAGCTGCCCGGCTCCCCCCCAGCCAGCGCGTCCTCTGCTCCCCAGCGCCCAGCCTGCTGTGGCTGGAGTGCTGAAGGCCATGAGCCCGGGGTGCTGATGGGGACAAGAGGCTTTTGGGGGTTGCAGAGGGCCTGGGTTGCTCCGGTGAAGCAGCCAGGACCTGGGTTTTGCCAGAGGAGAAGTAGAAACGTGTTGCAGCGTGAATGAACCCATCTGTTGAGCTCGCTGCTCTGAGCACCAGATATGGAGATAGCTAAATAACAAGGAGTTAAATAATAATGATAATAATAATAGTGAGGTTTTTTGACTCGTAAGGTTTACCAGCCCAAGCACCTTGGGTGGGTGAAAGAGGCTGGAACGTGGCAGCTTTTAGCACAAGGACAGTGTGCCTCACCCACCCTCCATCAGCAGAAGTAACGTGCTGCTGCTAATGAGCAAACCTTGGAGGCAGGGTTAATTAACACAGCCTCCCAAGGTTTCCTAACATGGCTGGATGCCACTGACCTTCGTAGGAAGCCCTGGAGTGCAGAAACGTGAGGCCTCTGGGCAGTGGCTGAGAGAGGTAATAAATACTTTTGGGGAACTTTAAGAGAGCATTAACCTAAGCTCTCCTAAACCACCACGAGCAGCAAGGCGTAAATGGCGATACCGTGGGCTGCTCCAGCACCTCTCTTATCTTCAAGAGCATCCATGACTTTGTGCTCATGACATGCTGCCACCGAGGAGGCAGGTACAGGAGACAGGTCTGTCTGGGAGCTGGTTTTGTCTGTCTGGGGCTGACAGATGACGGATGACAAGCTGTTTGAGGGGAAGAAAATGCAATTACCCAAAGTAGGCTTTTGGCAGGACATGGAGACGGCAGAATGAGGTCGGTGAAACCCAGAGAAAAGTCGATGAAAGACTGGCTGCTTACATCCAGGACCCTAGTTTGCTTTTAGTTGCCTCCTCAGAGATGTTTGTGCAGTAATTAGTGATGTAAGACATGCACCGGCCTCTTTGTTCCCATTAGGCTTGGCTACGGCTTGAAATGATACGCAACAGTAGCCTGTGGTTAATTTTACCAAATGTTCATTTTAATTTCATCTGAGACCAGCTGTCTATAAATCTATGGTGCCTATTTACATCGCATGCATAGAAGTGTATATATATATATAATTCTGTGCTGAGGAGAAGGTAACAGATAAGGCACTGGTAGGAGCAGTGCACCCTCTGGCCCATAGCCTCCAACCATGGGGTGATGTGGATGGTCAAGCCTGAAGGCTCAATGTTGGCTTGATACCGATGGGGTTGACCTTTGGGTGATGCCTCCTTAGGGATCAAACCTCCCTGCTGTGTTCCTCCACCCTAAAATCCCCCGTGTGTTGTGTGTGCAGGTCAACACCACATTAAACACCCGGTGTGTAAAGCAGCTACTTATCGGGTAGTGCACAGCTGGGAGCCTGCAGCGAGCCGGGGTTTATTTGCATCTGAGCTAGCACGCCTATGTTTAAGTACCTCTAAGCAAATGAGTCCAGCCAGCTCCCGCTTTGCTCTTCCTTGTGTCTTCGAGGCTGGGTTTACTGGCAGTATCCAAGGGCATTTTGTCTCCATCCTTTCTGATGGGGACCGGGAGGATGTCTGTGTGATGGTAGGTGTGGGTAACACTGCCCTGGTAGTGTTGGTCCCACGCTCCCTGGTCCAATATGGGCTGGTGGCTTCTTCTACCAGCTTTCCCCATCGTGTCGCATCTGAGCCATCACCAGCTGTCGCATGAGAACCCTGCACGGATCCCTCAAACCTGCGTTTGGGCCGTCCCTCCCGCCGGCAGCACCAGGACGGCTGGGAGGAGGCTGCCGCGCGGCGATGGGAAAGGCTGCAGCTCCTTGGTCCCGAAGCGTGGTGAGATGTGGTCGGCCAAGAAGCGTCTGTGGAAGTGCCGGCCGACACAGTGGACCAGGCTTCCCACCACGGCGCACTGGAAGCCGGGTGGGTTGGGCACGGCGTAGGTGGCACACTCATACCATAGCTTGGCCTTGGCGCTGCAGCGGTAGACGCTGATGCCTGCGCTGCGGTGGAGGTCAAAGCGGTAGATGAAGCCGTTGGTGCTCACCATCTCGGCCAGCCTGTCCTTGCTACTGCCGGCTGGGCTGACCCTCCAGCTGTCCGAGCGGGCGGCGTAACGCAGCAGCACGGAGCGCAGGGTGCCCCCCGTCACGTAGATCTCCCCATCGCACACCGTGGCTGTGTGGGCCACGGCGAAGGTGTCGTGGGGTAGGGGTGCGGTGAAGGTCCAGCGGTCCTGCCGGGGGTCGTAGCGCTCCACCGTGTAGAGGCACTCGCCGCCGATGGCGTAGAGGTGGCCGTCCAAGGCCACGAGTTTGCAGTGCGGCCGTGCTTGGTTCAAGGGGCAGATCTCCCTCCAGATGTTGGTCAGGGGGTCGTAGCAGAAGACACGGTTGGAAGGTTTCTGCATCCGGCCCGTGCCCTCACAGCCGGCCACCACGAAGAGGTAGTTGAACATGCTGCACATGGCGCACCCCCGGGAGACCACCTCTGGGGGCATGTGGCAGAGGTGATGCCAGCAGTCCCCTCCGTCATCGTAGTAGCAGAGGCGGCTGGTGTGGAGGCCGGGCTCCTGCACGTTGACATCTGCCACGGTCACGTACATCTTCCCCTTCATCCTCTGCTGCAGGATGAGCTCCCGCTCGCCGGCATTGAGATGGCCGTAGATGGAGGGTGTCTTCAGCACCTGCAGGTAGTTGTCACTCATCACTTTATAGGCAGCCTCCTGGAGGTGGCCGAGCTTCTGCGCCTTGGCGGTGCAGAGAACCTCGTAGCAGTTGCCCAGGTCCAGATGGGGGAGTGGTGGCATTTGGAAGAGGTCAGCACTAGCCACCAGCCTTGGCTGAGGGTTTGCAAGCAGTGTGCTGGCTGACGCCGCGACCCCAAAACCCTCCATGGGCAGCTGGAGGTGGGGGCTGTCGGCAATCTGGAGGATGCTGTCCTTGCGGCCAGGAGTTAGTGGCTCAGGGGAGATCTCCAAGCTCTCCATAGGTGGTGAAACTATGGAGGAGGTGGTGGGATCCCGCATTGCTGATGTTGGGTCTGGGTCTTGGGTGGCAAAGCTCGGCAGATCTTTATTGACCCACTCTAAGCTGTGGCACTGGGATGTTCCCAGAGGGATGTAGGGGAGAGACCTCTTCTTCGACACCGACTGGGAGGTGGACTGGACGTAGTAGTCATAGACTTTGCCCTTGAGGCCAGGGACCAGCTGCCCAGCCCCATCCTTCACCCGCCGCTCCGCGATGTAGTTCTCCTCCACCTGGATCTTCGCGACCGAGGAGAAAGAGTAGGAAGCGTCCGACCCTGCGTCGCTCGCCGTCATCGTTAGACCCAGGTCTGAGGTGACGCTGAGGGTCTGGATCGCCCACCCGCACCCCTCAGCCTCATGCCTCATGCCTCCAATGGCCAAATCCTGCTCTGTGCTTTGGGCGAACCCATCACTTGCCATCTGGACATTAAGGATCCCGGGGCAAATCCCCGGGCTTGGGGCAAGCGTGCCCTCCTCCCTGTGCCTGCTCGGTGTTTTGACTGCGTCCCCAGGGTCATAAGAGCTCAGCTTGCTTCCTGGCCCTCTTGCCAGCTTACTTCCCAGCTCTCTTCCTGGCTCGCTTGCCAGCTCGCTTCCCAGCTCGCTTCCTGCCTTGCTTCCCGGATCACTTTCCAGCTTGATTCCTGGTTCACTTCTCAATTTATATCCCACCTCACTTCCCAGCTTTTTTCCCGGCTCGCTTCCCCTCCCAGCCATCCCCGCTCTCCCACGAGCCTGCCCCGGTTCAGCAACCATCCCCTCTCCTTCCTCCTCCTCCTCCTCCTCACCCCTCGTCAGATTTTGATCACCCCAGGCAGGCGTGTGCCGTGTCCCAGGGACGCTCACTTGTCCGTCTCCACCATCCCTGCCCCCCTCCCCACCAAACACCCTCCTCCGTCGCAGCCCCACCGCACTGTCCCCATCCCCATCCCGGGCAGCGTTTTCCCTCTGCTCTCCTCCCGCATCAACCAGCGGGATTTTGCCCCCGGCAAGCGAACGGGACTTATAAAACCTGTACGCCAAAGTCAGGAGGAGCAGAGCGGCGGCGGAGAGGACCAGCTTGCCGGCCAGCTGCATGTCGGACTGCCAGGGCAAGGTTACCCGCTGGGGCATTTTTCCATGCCGGGAACACGGAGAAGCCGATTAATGATTGCCGAGTGAGTCCGGAGCGTGGAGCTGAAGGTTTGGGGCAAGGTGACTTTGAGCGGGCAAAGCTGGCAGGATGTTTCTGGACAAGCTTTGCATGTTTGGGCTGGGCTGGGCTCCGGGGAAAAGGTGCAGCCCAGAGCTGGCAGCACAGAGCCGGCTTTATTAGCCAGGTAAACAGAGAGGCTGAGAGAAAAGCAAAAGGAAGCACAAAGGGAGGAAAAGTATTCGGAGCAGCTCGATGGTGCTGCCTCTTCGTTTCTTTTGCTGTTCAAAAGAGATCATGCAATGGAAGTGGAAAATAAGTTGTTTTGTCTGGGAAAGGTCCCTCATCCCTCAGTGCAGGCATGGGGAAGGGAGGGAGAAGCAGCCCGGTGCCGGACAGACCTTTGGTCTGACGCTGAGTAGCTGCTGTGAGGCAGAGACTAACTCGGTAGCCTTCGTTTGCAGCATTCTAGTTAATGAAGGGTGACGGGAAATAGCTTGAAAGCTTCTGGGGTCTCTTCGAGGCCAGCTTGGAAGTGGCAGGGAAATTAAGAGCTGTTGGAAAAGGAGCTGGGGGCTTTGGGAGGGGGAAAAAATCCAGCACCAAAGAGTAAATAAAGGCAGGAGTTAAACTGCAGCAGGTAGCCACTGTGTTCAGAGACCTGAATCCATGTGCATGGGGAGAGGGATGAAGTAAGGAAAGTAAATAAAAGTATTGGGACCAGGAAGAAAATTGGGGTGGGAAGGGATGGGAGAGATGCAAGTTGTCATTTTGAAGTGATGTGCTGCTGCGCGTGGGATGTCTGTGGGGATTGGAGTCACTGTGGGGAAACTGAGGCACGGAGGATGCCAGACAGTGTCACGCTAACTTCTTTCTCCCCCTGGAAAGATGTTGGTGATGTGTCTGGTCCTGATCTGAATTTCAAAGATTTAGGGGAATTGTTGTCCCCGTCATCCCCGAGGCAGTCGGGTCCCCATGCCTGGACAGCGGCGGGGGCGGGGTGAGAGGAGGGGGCCTGGGGAATTGCCTCCCTCCGCAACCGCCGCTGAGCGAGCTGAATTCAAAGGCATAAAATTAATTTCCTTTTCCCCGAGGGGAACATCTCACATGCTGAGAGATGCATAAAGAAATGAGGCCTTACAAGGTGGCAAAGAAACCGCCAAAATGTGGGTGGGGGTGGGTGGCAGCTCCTGTTTGTATGCCGGGACTCGCTTCCCTCTAGCTTGGTCCCGATCTGGTGGGATTTTCCAGAGAAATGAACCCAAGTGATGCTGAAACAGCTCCTTGTATGAGGTGTGGGTGTGATGGGTCCCAACTGCATGGGTCATGGGTGTGTGTGCTTGGAGGAGGCCTTCCCATGGGTCTTTAAAGTTGGTGGGTGCCCATGAGCTCATACCTGGTGCCTGCATCTCCCAAACCATCTCCTGTGAAGCAGCTGATCTTCAGCAGCCGTCGCATGAGCTTGGGCACTGCCTTTTGAGATGGGGAGGAACATATGAACCTCCTTGGGTCACGGTCCCCACCATCACCAGCATCTGCAAGTGCTGAGATGTCCCCCTTCCAATCCTGAGCTGCTGAATTTGCACAGCGACCGCGGTGGTGCTGAAGGGGGGATGAGGGTGGTTGTATGTCTGCTACTAGACTTGCCAGACATGCTTGCTAAGTTGAAGATCAGGTGCTAGAAATAAATATATATATATATACATATATATATATATATTAAAGAGGATGGAAAGGAAGCAGAGGGGTAAACTCCCCAAGCTGGCTCAGCAGTTGGATCCCTCTGCACATCCCTGCTATGAACAGAGAGAGTACACCAGTGGCTTTTAGGGGAATGTTTGGCAAGTTGTCACCTCGTATGGGTGCAGCATGAGGAGAGGCAGCAATAAAGAGGTTGGGGGAATGAGGATATTTAGATTAAGATCTGGACTTTGGAGCAGGGCAAGAGCCGGTGTGATTAATCCCTTGGGTGCGTCTTGGGCTTCCACCCAGGGGCCGAAGCACCACCCAGTCACTCCCCTTCATCCCATTTAACATAGGGACCCAAAATCTATCACTGGGGGACTTGGCCCAGCCAAAACCTCAGGGAAAGGGATATCCCTCCTGCCTGCAAACCCAGAGGGTCCCGAAGCCGAGGCTGGAGTTGGGGTAATGGGGATGTGTGTTGAGGCTGGGCATGTGATTCAGGGCTCAGCTAATTGGAAAGGGTCTGGCTACCTCTGTGCGGCCATGACCCCCAGGTTTCTTCATCTCTTACTGCCGTGGTTTTTAATCTGCAGGTAGAACTGCAAAGATCCTTGTGTTCGTGAGCTGGAAAGTATGAATTATGCATGCACTTGGTGGCCCTGTGAACCCGGCCACGGCAGTAACTGTGCCCGGTAATGAGGTGGGGGAGGCAAGGGAATCACTCTGCAAAACCTACCGTTGCTCCCACCGATATTCCCAGCCCCTTCAAACCAGAGTATCCCTGGTTTTGTGCCCCCCACCCCAATAACCCCAAAGGCCGGGGGCTTGGATGCGCCACATCCTTGCGAGATACAGGGCTGGGCTGCCCAAACCCCACCTCTGGGTGTGTGCCAGGATGAGTGCGATTATCCTCGTCATCGGTGGGGTTTTGTGGACGTTGGGAGGCTGAGACACGGAGCACAGGGGGAGGCGAGCGTATTTTTGGCAGGCAGCGTGCTGCTCTGCCGGCTGTTGCCTTCACAAATGGCAGGACGGGGGGACCAGAGCCCAACTGCTGAGTTGCCATGGATGATGTCAGGAAGGAGGATCCCCACGGTAAAAATACAGGTTCAACGTATAAATGTATATTTATCTATGCCTTGCGGTAAGGAGGATGAGCGGCAGCGTAGGGGGGCAGGGGATACGGCCGTGGTGTCTGCGAGCAGCAGTGACGTCTCGGTGCTTGTGACTCTAATTGAATGTAATTGCCTCTTCCAAATTTTGCTAAAACCTTTTCAAAGTCCCCTGAAATTAGGCAACATCGATAACGCCGCTCCTTGGGGTTTTCAGCTCGCGTCATCCCTAAGAAGCACGATTAATTTTTTACAAGCTAATCATATCTCTTAGGCAGGTTGTCAGCTGCGGATCTGTCATCTCTCATCAATAATGAAACAACCTGAGCAGCTCTTTCCCCCTCCAGCCTCCTGCATTATTCACTGCCAGGTCCTCAAACAACAGGGTGTGTGGTGACAGGGGGGGCGGGGCAGGGATTTAATTCATGTCCTTTGTAATTACCTGTAGGAAGGTGGATGGGGATGGGGTGGCAGGGCTGGTACGTGGTGGGTGAAGGATGAAAGGGGGCAGGAGGTGAAGGCAGGGTCCAGCACAGCATGGATGGTTTTCTGTGGATCACTGTTTTGGTGGGATTGCATCTCTTTGTGTTGTCCCTCGCCTTGGGGGGACTTTGGGAAAGCAGACAGCACCTCTGCCCAAAATGAGGAGAGGCTCCCGTGTCCCCTCACTCATCACTTTGGCTGTGCCGGTGCTGAGAAGGTCCCAGCCTGTAGCTTGATCCATCACCATGCCAGCATCCCTGGGGAAAGAGCTCAGCATCCCAAATGCACACGGAGGGGTGGAGTTGGGATGCAGGACCCCTGAGCCCACCGTCCTCTCCCAGCCGCTGGATGAGGAGGTCCCGTCGCTCCTGAGATGACATCAGGCAGAGCTGGTTCGATGGTGGCACTGCTGCTGTAATGCTCCTAATTTCCACGGTTCCAGGCTAAAACTGGCACATTTGCATTTAAATGGAGGTTTGGGCGTCTGTAAATCCTCATTTTTTGAAGCGAGAAGGCCTAATGGTTGTTTAATCATGCTGGGATGAAGCCCCCAGGATGAGGAGGGAGCATCTCCAATTCAGCGAGGAAGGTGAGACGCACCCACGCCGTGGTGGTGGGCTTCTCCTGCCTGCTCAGTAGTGTGGGAGTAAACCGAGTCATGCAAATATCCCTAAAAAAAAAAAGGCTCCTCTAAAAAATGACGGTTCTCTTTTCACCCAGGGAGGTGCAATGGGCTGGAGCAGTGAAAGCATCTGGAGAGGGAGCAGGAGTTTGGGCAGCTGGTCCAAGGGAATCCAGATGCTCGGATGTTGTTACTTTGGGATGGAAGCGGAGCTGTGGATCCTCCTCCATCCCAGCCAGCCCCAGCCTGTCCCCGTGTTGCTTCTAGCCCAAATTATAAAACCGCATGCTTTTGCATATGGGCAGAAACTCCTGAGCTGCTGCGTGTTTGTTCAGCTCCTTTGAGGCTGGGGAAGCGCTCACAGCGAGGTTGGCAACGGAGCATGGTAGGCACTGAATCTGCTTAATAATAATTAATCATAATAGTAATAATAATGCTTAGCACTTGTACGGGGCTTTGGAAAGATGAAGCGCCACACGGCTGCTGGCTAATCCTCTAGGATTAAGAGTTCCCGGAGGAAAAGGCAGGGGAGTGCCCCGTCCTGGGGCTCCTCTCCCCCTGCATCCGCTCCCCAGGGATCCTGGATGGGGGCTGGATGCTCTCGAGGCACCACGGGGAGGGAAAGCAGCTGGGCAAGCCTCCAGCATCCCCCCAGCCCTGGGCAGGACTGGGGCAAAACCACCTGGTTTCTGCAAAGAGCTGTCCTGCAGCAGGATTAGTGTTGTAGCAGGATGTTCCCAGCACCATGGGGGTACCGTAGGAATGGGCAGGATCTGGCCGTGCTGGACCGTTATCTGTTTCCATGGTGACAATTAGCCAAGAGGGATGGGGAGGGTGGCACAGACCAAACAGGGATGCAGAGCTTTAAACTCTGCTGGTGCCTCCACAGTGGCGCTGCGCGACGGGACATGTGCTGCCTGCTCATGTGTGAGCACTGACATTTTGGTTCGGGAGCTGCCTGTCACTAGAGATTGACCGCCCAGCCCAGGACAAGTGTTGTGTACGGGCGCCCGGCTTCCAGCAAAGCCGATTTGCCCCGACCGAGGTCCAGATCAGGCCAATGATCCACAGCTTTCAGGCTCCCAGCGCCGCTGTCCGTGTGTGTGCGGGCTGAGCAAGGCTGGTCCCCAACATCCCTCATGCTGGGGACACGTGTGGTCCTTACCCTGGGGAGCTGAGGCCTGGAGCAGCTCGGTGCAGTGGTAATCGTGTAACTGGATTTTCCAGGGAAAATCTTGTCCTTGCATCATAGACAGACCCCGCCCT